TTTTTTTTTTTGTCGAAAAAACAGTCGATATCGAATCCCTTTGGTGTATAAGGAATTACATATACGAGTAAATTTTTGGGTTTAAATTTTTTTTTTTTTTTTATATAAATCGGCGTTTAAATATTCTAAATATTGGTTGAGTGTACGGATTTAACAAATATTCCTCTCGTTTTACACATTTTTGGAAATTAAATTTTACTTAATTACATAATATCATTAGGGTCAACATTTTTTCTTCATTGAACTATTGTGGGTGTTTTTTCATATAGTGTTTTGAATTTTGACTTACGAAAAATAACCAGATTAAGCTTTTATAAATATGTTATTGAAATCTGAACACAGAATAAGTAAATAAATTGCAATGGTATTAAGACAGTAATTAATCTGAAGTCTGAAAAACATCTGAATCCTTAAACAATAAGAATCTGAAAATATAGCAGATTTATCGAGGATTTCGAGTATTCATCATAATTCGACTAAGTAAACCAACTGATCACTGAGTTATTACATGATAAGTCATTTGTCTTTCATTTTTAAGATTAGTAATATATAGTATTGAGATTTATATCGGACAAAGTATTTAAAAAAGAAACTTAAAACTAGTAGGTACATAGTGTAATATATACATAAAAAATAATAATATGTGCGTACGGTATAAAAATGAATTTGTTTATGTCCACTCGATGTGCTAATGAAATAAGAAACCGTTACGACAACGGTCGGTTTTTTTTTCGGGGTACCGATATATACGTAGTAGCAGCAAATAACGAATAATAGTATATACAATATAATATTATATATACATATAAATATATTATTACATTATGATAAACAAGATTATCCTATAAAAAGTGTCAATAACAAAAGCAGGACTGCGAACATACATCCGGCAATTCCAGTTTTATATTGTTCTTGAGAATGAAATAAAAAATACTTTTTTCAAACATATATGGAAATCGTACACGAAATAAAACGAATATAATGTTACAATTACCATTAGAATAATGGGGGAGACAATAAAAATATAAAACGAGTATGAAAGATGAAACACGATTCAACGGCAGAAACGCTTCATGAATAATATTATTATTTTATTATGACGAAACAACAATAATATTGTGCACGAAATGGAACGTCTTCGTCAACCTGAACTGAACAGATATTATCAAGAACTAAAATATATATTTTAAACACACACACACACACACCGTATATATATATATATATATATATATATATATATATATATTAACAGACACGATGTATTATACCTGTGTATACTATCCGTTACTCCAAGGTCTCTCTTTTTTTTGTGTATTTTTCTTCTTCTTTTAGAGTAAAGTTAAAACTTTTTTGAATTTACGATAACTCCATGTACGTGCATTTAATATTAGTGTAGTTGCATAGCCATCTGCGTGTATAATGCGCAAGCGAAAGGACGTGAATGACGTCCGGAAATAACGTGTTGATCGCGTAAATGACGACAACGGCGTTCTTACACGTATATAATATATTTTAATACATACAGGGTGATTCATTTAACGTAATGACCTGACTACGTGTGGGAAAATAATATGTGAAAATTGTGCAGTAGATACTTTTATTGGATATTACTGTAATATAAGCAGATAAAATAATGTATTACGAAAATAGATTAAATGTATATTATGTAAGACAATTCAAATAATAATGAAACAAAAGTTAACTCAAATGTACCTCGATACAGGCTGCATGTTTAAAAAGTTAAGCCGAACAGGTACAGTGGCGTAGCTAGGGTATGGCAAACTGTGCATACGTCAGGGGCGCGAAATCGCAAAGGGGTACAAATATTGTGCAAATTCGTATTTTTATCCTATAATCAAATCGAAATTTTTTCATTATACTTTTTGAAATACGTAGATGTTGTCTATTTGTACATACTACGTGTGAATTTAATGATAAAATTATGGAAAGAGCACAAGGGCATTTAAATAAAAATTTCATAGGAAGAAATTATCGATGAATTTGCCAGTTGTAAAGCGAGAAACAACAAATTTTCAAAGTTTAAATTTAACACTGTAATAATAACTTACAAGTATAAATTGTATACTTAAAAATATTAGTAAAATTAAAGGTTAAAAAAATATCTTAATATCAAATTGTATTTGGTTAAAAAGCGTTTTTTCTAAGTTTGCCAGGGACGCTAGCGAGTCTTCCTACGCGAATGGATACTTCTTTTTTTTTCCGTAAGTACTCCGCACTCTTATATTTCATGCACACTGTTATTACACTAATAATTCAAGTCCAAGAATTTAATAATTCAATTATATTAAAAATAACAATTAAATATTCAAAGGTTTCAATATTTTAAGTCATAGTTATATATAACTTATGATGGTTTATTGTTTATTAAATGAGGTATAATCCTTAAAACAGGTATATGACGAAATCCCGTTTGATGGGTAAAATTTAAATTTTTTCAACAATATTATTTAATTCAATTGGTGGAATTTTTCGACTACATAAATATCATAAACTATAATATTCTTTATGGTTTTCGTGCATTATGCATATATATTATATATTATAAATAATTTAGAGTATATATTTAAATTCCAAACGATACCCATAATACACCACGTATATGTAATATAGTATATTATTTTCGTAATAATGATTGGAGTGGAATTGTATGACAATAAAATCAACAAAATAGATAAACGTGAAACGTTTTTCAGTAGATTTATCTCTGCTTGATTTTTATTGGTCTTGATTGCATACATAAATTCTCTATTCCATTGGTTTATAAATTCGTTGAATATACCACGTATCGATGACGTATTTACGTTTCATTATTTTTTTCTTATTTTATTGACACTCTGACAATGCAATATGACTCTTCTATAATACATAGACACTACCTATGTGTACCTGAATCACTATTTACTCCCCGATAACACGGCAGGACACCACAAATATTGGAACTGACACATAATGGTACAATCACACATGTATAAGTTGCCATCAGATACAGTTTAATACGGTTGGCCCGGGATTTTTGTTTAGGAGGGCCATGCTCATATCTTTTACTATAGGTATAGGTGTATTATGTATATTTATTTAGTTCATAAAAAAATTGTCACTGCTAATATCAATATTTAAATGGAGGTCTAAACGTTATGTCCTGAAAACAACTGTTTGCATTCTCGCTATATATACACACGACAGATAAAATCCTATATTTATTTACGACGTATACCCTTTTGTTCCAACGCTACAATATAGTATGTAACAACATCAATCAAATACTAAAATGAAATATTTCGGGAGGAAATACGTGTCGTCTCTTTCTTGTCGATATCATCATGTCTAGTATGATAATGGTATTAACATTGGTTTAACAATATTCAAACATTATGGCAGAGATAAGAAAAATTACAAAAATAATACATAAAATAATTAATATTTTAATTCTTAATATTATTTTTACACAAACCAAGATCCTTAAAATTGAATAAGATTACCAAAATTCGTAGACAATATGCGGTTTGCAGGATGCAAGTAAATTATAATTTATGTTAAAACTGGCTCATTAATAATGAGCACCTGCTAATTATCGTTTTCGTGTTTTTATGTAAAATAATAATTCTAATTTTTACGGGGCCACGCGTACATGCATAACACATAAGTGTGTTGCGTATGATATACACGCATATACGTGTACCTGTAAAACTGCCAGGTCACATGTATTTTCGCCCTAGATCGGAATTAGAGTGAGCGACTGTGGCTTTGCACTGCAACACGATGTGCAATACGAATATATTCACAATGACGTTGCAGCTGTACCAGCAACGTGCTTTGGACTTTATCGAAATAATAAAATATACGATGTATTGTACGAAAACCCCATAAACAGGGGAAAAAAGTTCTTACATCGGAGAGGGTATAAAATATTATGACTATACATACACGTTATCCCCTATAAATACACTCATTGCTGCAGCTGTGCCGTATACAATGTACTGTGTGCATCAAATGTCAATACGCGCACATTCATTAATTTACAGTCCTATGGCGATAATATTGTACACAATGTTCATGTTATAGGTGCAAATAGACTAAATTATGTTTGGGGGACTGAAAGACTTCTATAGAACACTGACAAAAAATAAGATGTACAGGCTTTGTTACCTACAACCCCCTTTTATGTTCATCGATATCTAAATAAAGTAATTTTATATGATAAAATATTATTTTATTTTCATTAAACGCAGAAATTCTCAAATTAATTTATAATTTTTTTTTTTTCAGTATCTGTTGTAGAAACTTTTATATATCTTTAGTAATGTTTTATAGAGATAATGATCAAGACAGTAAGTATATTTTTTTCTATTAATATTTTTATTAATATTTACAACAATGGCTATTAATTAATAAGTAAACATTTAACGAGCATCACGCAATTATCGCTTACCACTTATCTCTTATCAGAATAATTGACCAGAGGCATGAAAACCACCTGTTAAATGTATGATTGACCACTATTATTATACATAATCAATACTACTACTAGAGCTGGACCAACGAAATAAGTTAGTCATTCAGGATCCTGCTGATTCTGGAGTCTTTAATATTATACTAATATTATACAATAAATAATGATTATTATAAATTAAGTTCTTCTTACAAATATACAATAATTAATAATTTTGTTATATTACACTGAATTATAAGCATGTGCGGTGTGCATTTCATTGTATTAATGGTATAAAATATTTAACTTGTGATTATATTATCACCGTATATTTACGCTCGGAATCGTTTTTTAAAAGTAATAATTCCCTATCGTTATCAAATGTACACTTATTATAAAGTTTAATATCTAATACTTGCTATCCAAAATAACTAACAACCGGAAGAAATACTTCAATTGATATAGATTCTGCTTTTATTGCAAAAAAATGTAATATATATTTATAAATATATTTTTCATTTATAATGCACATTTTTAAATCGTAAAAAACCATTTCGAACGCACGGGTATACCGTATACCTATATAATATATACGGCGGAACAGTTGGATTTCGGTGGAGGCCGAGTTTTCCCCATATGTCACCCTATTCGATGAAATTCGAAACGACAGATTCGAAGTTTTCAATTGGATTTCAAAACCAAGAGGGGTTTGATATCTGTTACGATGCATATTATCCAACATATGCGTCCTACATCGTCCATCGTCATCGGTCCCGCGGCCGCCGAGCGGTGTCTCGCGCGCCCCGCGGCGCAGACGATCGGATCCGGAAACCGTCTGAAATGGAAATCGGTTTTAGTGCTGTCACGAATCACATTGCCAGAGATACCGTACGTACCACAGGGACAAGTAATCGGAAACCGTGTTGCGCGGAACGGAACATTTTTATTTTTTGTAACAATACGCGGGACGAGCACAAACCCGAAAGTACGAACGTCCACGCGAACATCTCGGGTGCACAAAGCGAATGCGTGTTTGTACTAGTAAAGTCGATTGCAACCGCTAAACGTAAACGCCGCGCAACGGATTACGCCTAGCACAGTCAGGGTGCTTCGGCAAAGGTGTTGAAAACGGATACGAAACCGAAGGACGTGATGGAACTCGAAGGTTTGTTCGCGGGAAAGTCTGTACGAAACCGCGTCGACAAGTCTCGCCAGGGAAAGTCCAGATGCTGTTTCAGGTCTTCCGCCAGGCCGCCGAAGTCACCGTTTACGTGTGCGGTACAATATTTTTATAGCATATTTATATTGTATGTACTACACGTTCTAGGTACGTAATTTGTCGGTGGGCCGGCCAGAAGCGTGTTATGTTGGGGGAGGGGAGGAGCACGCGCGTGAGCCGCGCGTTGAGTGCGGGGCCGGGGAGGGGGGAAGAAGAAGACACGTGAAGCGCGACTGCAGGAAAGCAAGAGAACCGTGAAGACCCACGAACCCGTGGTTCCCCTTGTGCGCGCGTATACACGTATGCATGAACCAGACCAGAACATATCGGCGGCGCAATTAGCGTCATTGCATCGGCGGCGGCAGTTACGGCGTGCACGCGGACGGACGGACCTCTGCTGAAGCCACCGGGTTTCTCTCTCTCTCTCTCTCTCTCTCGTTCTCAGCATAATACCGATACCACCTCCCGGTGAGCTGGCGCGCGCCGACGCGAGCGCGTGTACCTGGTATACGGTTATACGTGTTCCTCGTGCAGCTTTTCCGTTTCACTCGGTCGCGCAGCGTGTTTGTCCATTGGAAACTTATAACATCCTCCCATGTACGTGTAGGCTACACATAACGTCTTACGCACGAATATATACGTATACGTGTATTTGTGTGTGTGTGTGTGTGTGTGTGTGTGTGTGTATCGTTTATAAGAGCCATACCTTAAGGAAAAAAATAAGCCCCTTCCCTTCCCCGCACACGCGTGCCTGGTTACCGGTCTTCGTCGTCCCTATTTCACT